GACCACAGTCACCGTCTCTGCTTTTGAGTAAATGGTGGACATCTTCGCTTGCAATGGTCGAACTAACACACACACCTACCATCTAATTGGAAGACAGCGACGATCATTTCCCTTTTCAAGAGTGGAAGCCGAGCGTCCGCAAACAATTACCAGCAGGTAAGCCCTACCTCCATTTGATGCAAAACCATGGAAAAAATCATTAAGAAGTCGTGGATGCAGTTCCTCGAGCAGAATCACCTCCTTTCCCATGCCCAACACGGTTTTCGCAATGGTAGGTCCTGTGTTACGAATCTGCTCTTCTCACTTGATCGCTGGACCGAAGCACGAGACGAAGGCAAATGGTGCATGCGATCTACATTGACTTCAAAAAGGCATTCGATATCGTCCCTCATCAATGCCTGCTGTATAAAATGCGCAGCGCAGCCGTCCGCGGGATCCTCTTCCTATGGATACAAAATCTTTGACAGGACGGTCCCAAAGAATATAAGTCGGTCGCCAGCAATCCTCGGGGTTACCTGTGGTGAGTGGCGTCCCTCAGAGCTCAGTTTTAGGTCCCACATTCTTCCTTATTTCCATCAAGGACTGTGTCAGGAACCTAGACTATGATGTCGCCTTGTTCGCAGGTGACATCAAATTATGGAAAGTCATCCAAAATAAGGCAGACGAAAACTATCTGCAAGTTAACCTGAACAGATTGGAGGACTGGTCAAAGCTTTCGCTGACGCCTTTGAATGTTAGTAAATGCAAAGGTCTATTCCTTAAACGGTACACCACTGCAACAAGTTGAGAGTCAGAAGGACTTGGGTGTGTGGATTACTTCTTCACTCAAAACAATGCTGAACTGTAACGAAGGCGGTGCAGTCGGTCAGATCTATATTACAGCTGATTAGACGAGCCTTTATGGGATTTTTAAAAAAGACAGCTTTTCCAAAATCTTTGGAAGCTTCGTTCGGCCGCACCTGGAATTCGTTATACAGGCATGGAGACCCTGGACTGTCAAAGACTACATCGTCTTAGAGAAGATCCAGAGGCGAGCGACAAAAATGGTCAAATGTCTGGGAACACTACCCTGTGAAAGCAGACTGTGAACTCTCGACCTTTTTCCCCTTTCCTACAGACAACTTCGAGGGGACTACATACTTATCTTCCGTTTTATGAATAACCTGGATTGTTGTTTCGTTCCCGACGATTTCTTTGCCCTGGCTTACTCGCCAACTTTGCGCGGGCATCCCCTTAAACTACGCTCCTGCAAAGCAGGAATGGACGGACGAACGTTCTTCTTCAGCAACAGAGTAGTTGCAGCGTGGAACACCCTTCCTGAAGAGGTTGTCCTCTCCACTAGTGTTAATTCCTTTAAGAGTGGAGTGGACATGCACCAAGCACAAATACAAACCGTGTAAAAAAACCACTGCATCACATTATACGGCATCACTTATACTGCATCAATTTATACAACTCGCGATTTGCGAGCACTCATATTTTTCTGTCTTATTTTGTTACTGTTTGACTACCTAACAACTCTAGTGTCTTCCCGGAGCATGTAACTGACGTAATTTTTAAATTTTTATTTGAGTCCATTTATTCCCTATTATCTTGTTGCCTCCAGGGCTTTCAAAAGGCCTTCGCCTATCTCTCCCTCAATATACTGATACTGATACTAAAACCGCGACCTCCTTCCTTGCCCACCGGCGAACTGAAAAAAAAAACAGGATCTCTTCCTCCCTCTTTCATTGTATGTTATGGACGCCCTGTCCCATTGTCTGGTCATCTATTTGCTCGTTTGATCGGCACTGCAGCTACACCTGCAACAACAACAAAATTAGCCATGGTGGTTGCCAAGATGCAAGCCGTCTCCACGTTATGATTCCGCAATGTGTGACACCTTTATCCAATTCCTTACATTTCAACTCACACCCCTTCAAATCCTATCTCGGAATCAGTGTCCGCCTTGCTCAACATTTAAGTTCCCTTTAACAGTTTAGGGCCTGCTCAGTCTCGTGTACTATTCAAATATTACTACTGGAAGGGCCTGAGAGCATGCCTCAAACAAATATCCCACGAACCACTAAATTTCTCATGTAACCCACCCACTGCCATTGGACACGTTTGGCCCACGTTCTACCATGCTTGCCTCCCGGTCTGGCCAGTCAACTTCAAGGCAGACTAAAAGTAAGACCGCTTTCGGTGGCCATTGTGATGACTACCACCAGGCTATGACTTCGGATTCAGCTTCGCTCCGGTGCAGACAGTCGACTTCCTCCTATCTATTCTCCCACTCTTTCTGTACGGAATAAACTGTTCCTACCAATCTGATCTTCCACTGTCTTCGTATCGGCTAGGGTTTAAGATACTTGCCTCCAGTAGAACAAGACAATTCGCGTTGTTTGTCGCAGAGTGAAGGCTATCGACGTTAGCCGGACACCATTAATCCCAAAATGACTCTATACCTAATTGTATCTATCTGTGTCGCGCAAGCCCCACTCAGTAGACGCTTCCGTTCGCATATTCGGCTGAAGTCCTGACCTTCCTGTTAGCGAAATACGACTCGATACTGCACCCAGGACGGCCATACTCAAATATTCAGAATGAAGACATATGTATGACAACAAAAATGTTTATTAACAAAAATGGAAGAAAACCATGACGGTCATGCCGAAATATTAAGAATGAAGGCACGTGTATGAGGAAAAAAACGTTTATTAACAAAAGTGGAAAAACGAACGCTAGAACAAACAAACAATGTAAAAATAAAAAAAGAGGAAGAACAGCTGATGGAATGAATGCTCGGGTGGGAGGATCACATCTTGCAGGTGGCGAGGCGTTCAGGGCACAGGGGGCGGTAGAGCGATCGCACAAAGTCCTGCCGCAGATATCTCAAAAAAACAGAGGGTTCAGTTAGCCGCGACTGCTACCCATGAGTTGAGCACTTCAATTAGTAAAACCTATAAGGTGAACTACAATGCAGTTATTAAACAACGTCGCAACCCTGGAAATTTCAAATGAGTCTCCAGTTAAAGCATCATTCCGTCTAGTATGGAGAAAATAACTGCATAGATTCGAGTGTACTGGAAGTACCGACAAGCCAAATATCCCTAGAAAAAGGGTACATATTGACAGTTTGAAAACGGATATAAATGGAGTGATGAGTGACTTACTGGTAAGCGTATCGACAGGCCTCAGAGAAGGTGTGTCCAAGGCCCTCTGCGGACACCAGTTGGCTGTCAGCCCGGTGCAGACCACTTGACAGCCAGGGCCAGTGCTCAATCAGGAGTTCCAGCACCTAGATGAGAGAAATAAAACAGGGATAAAGCAAGGAAAAGAATTTATTCTGAGAAATGGCGATCGCATATAAAGACACGAAGAAAGGTAGGGGTGTATATAGAGCATACTCGGCTGTTGGTCTCGGCGTTTTCTGTGGTCCCAAAGAGAGAGGGTGTGAGGCACAAGGCCAGTGAGCGCGGAGACATTCGGTTACTGGTCTGATGGGCCACAACCTCCCGAAGATGTTGCAGCACGAAGTCCAGTGTGGCCAAGCGCCACCCTCTCTCCCGGGCAGCACCAGCCTCCTTGCAACCGGACGGGTAAAAGGAAGATGCAAGGCCTGCTTGCAA